TCAAACAATGTTTCCTGTGCCAGAGCGAAGGTAGCCTCAATGAAAGACTTAGCTAAAGGGCTCTCCATGAGCTGTCATCCCCAAATGTTGTTCCCCCGCCTCCATATCTCAGTTTATAATGGCAAATTCCATTTTTTGCTGTGGCCGGAAAACCAAAACCCAAAATATGTGTCAAGTGTAAAAAAATTAAAATAGGATTTTATTAACAGGTGCACAATGGCGAAGTTTGTATCTAAAGATTCTGTGAAAGTTTCATCAAATTTCATTCAATGGTATGAGAGGAGTTGGTGCTTAGGTATGATAAAATAGGGCTGCTGGCAAAAATATATATCAAAATGACGGAAAATAACGGACGGAAGGTACGGTACAAAACTAAATTTATTTTGATTTATTTTCTATATACCCTCCCGCTTTTCAATCTTGCAGCATATACAGTTGTATTTGCATTTACATCTTTGGTTGTAAGAGATGTTATTCTTTTCATTTATTAAAAGTACAATTATATAAACGTTGGATCAATTAAAGATATACGAAAATAAATTTTCTTACCATGTCAATGATATTTGCAATTTTTTGTAGAAATGTTACTGATTTTACATACGAGTTTTCTTTGGTTGCTACACAGTAGATGTTATTGCTTCTAAGGAGTAAGGAGTTGATCCTTACGCCGCGGGTTCAAATCCCAATATTATTAAGTTAATACATTTTTATTTGTAGCTGTAATTCCATTCCTTGCGGATGGTTGCAAAATTCTTCATATTTTTAAACCGAGGTCCCGTTTTTTAAGACAACAATTGTAAATGAAATGACAACATGACATTTACGGAAAAAATTGGTTTGTTTAATTACATTACGTCAGTGCTTAATTTAAATCCAAAAACTGAGTGAAACCGAAATTTATCGTATTGTTTTGACAAAATTTAGGCAGCTCCCCACTTTCGGCAAGTTTTGGCATATATTGACTCCATATGAGTGAAAAATTAACTCAATGGGGACGTTAATATAATATACAATCAATCAATCATAAGGAGTTGATCCTTACGTCGCAGGTTCTCTATTATATAAAAATTATTCATCTTCATTATGTTAACTTTTTAAAATGTTCAACATAACTTTTAATGTTTGAGCACAATATTCCAAAACCCATGAAACTGGTCTTGTGGATAATATCATATTCACTGGCACTGACAAACACAAAAAAACATCCCTTACTGCTCAAATGCCGTATGTGCGGAATAGATGTTTTTTGCAGCCCTAGGCCTCGAACTGCAAGTGGTGGCGTCTCAATATGAATAAAAATCTCTTGAAGGGAAGTTAAACAAACAAAAAAAAAAAATATCCTTTACTAATATGCATCACAACTTTATTTCAGATCATATCTCTTACTTTTCAGCACGACGCCTTAAATATAAGAATTTATTAAGAGTGTTTTTATTGTTCACAGGATTGACATCAACCGAGATTATCGCCAATTGTCTGATATTTTTCTTCGCTGGTTATGAAACCACTGCCGCAACTCTTGCATTCTTGACCTATTTTCTTGCCCTCTACCCATATGTTCAACAAAAGATGTTCCAAGAAATTGTTTCAGAACTAGGAGATGTACGAAAGAAATGTAAGAAATTAAATGTAGACAATTCTGATTTAGTCAGAGTTTAGAATCTTTAACCTTTCTAATGCTCTCTGAATACCAATCTTGGTGTTTTATGTTATAAACAACCAATTTTGCTGTTTACAAAAAAGAATTAAGAAACGCTGAAACTTTATTTTTTTCCTCCAAATGGTGTAGCAGTGTAAAGGAATAGATTGTACGAATGCAGCTTTGGCATTCGTCTCCCTTAAACAGCGTCACACAGTTATACATTGTATTTGATAAGTCACAACCCCCTTCCCCCCAAAATGCTATTAAAAAAAATTGCACCCCCCCCACAATTAAATAATTTTTACCAATGTTACACAGACTTTTATAATCATCAAAAAATTCACGAAGAACATAATGTTCACATTATTCTATTGTAATGTATACTATCAGTTGTTTTTCGAAAAATATGTCTTATAACACAGGTAAAAGTATTCTAATAGTATTCTAGCAACATCTACAAAAGCAAGAAAAAGAATGGTAAACATTGCATCTTGTACTATTGTATGTCAAAAATAATTCACATTTACATTTTGCATGAAAGCGTACTGGCACAAATTCCATTTATAATGAGTGTTGAATTGATCCAGCATTTAGCATTTGTTTCCACTTTTACATGGATTCCATACACTTTTTTCTCCAAACACTAAAATCTGTTCAAAAGTTTAACTTTCTTGAAACGGTAAAGTTTCTGGAATGGGTAAATTTGTAAAGTCTTCAATAATTATTCAAAAATAAACAAAAAAAACTTTTGAAATTTGCACGCCATCTTTAGATGACAGTGTCGGGAAGTTACAGTATATGAATATGTGCATTAATGAAACGATGAGAATTTTCCTATTGCACCAAGGTAATCATGTGAAGAGTTAACAGTTTATTCTTCAAAGAAAATTTCGAGTATCTCTAGTACATGTGTTTCTACTGCATGATATGATGTTTTTAAAGATAATTAAAACAGAATTATATGTAGTTGTATTGCATAGTAGATGTAAATAATTCTTGTTTTGAGCATTCATTTTTAAGGATTTTTTTTTTTGTCACGAAGAAAAAAATATCGTTTTTAGTAAACATTTCAATTTATATTTTAATCTGACCTGTTTATATTTCCCTTGTAACGTGATGATAGATTGTTTACAAATGGAGTCTCTTTGAGGAGGAGATGAAATAAAATATACCTTGCAATTGCTTGCAGAACAGATGGAGTATGTGTTCAGGGTACTATCAATGGTTTGAAGATTCCTAAAGGTATGAATATATGAATACCAATATGGATTTTACATCATTCCGATAAACTCTGGGAAGATCCAGAAAAGTTTGACCCAAAAAGGTTATTTTCTTGATTTTTTTCCCCTATTAATGTGTCTTTAAATCTTCAGTATGAAATTTGTCTTCGCGAAAAATGACTTTAAGTTGTAATTAAAGTGCATTTCATGTTATTCTGTATTAACCTTATGTGCCATTTCAATGCACTCGCACTTTGAAAAAAATTTTCAAAGTGCGTTAAAAAACAAAATCAACGCACAAAAATTTTTTCAAAGTGCGTTAATCCCTTTTTTTACAGTTAAACGCACTTTGAAAAAAAATATGTATAAAACAAAAATTCTAGACTAAGATTTTAGTAATTGAGATAATAATTTGTAATAATTACATCTTTCGAAAGCCTTTTTAATTTACATGTATTGTTTTAACTTCATTGAGAACAAGGAGAAGACATGCTTTCTTTTTTTTACATAGCCGACGGTAGCAAATTGAACGTAGACAAACCCCCCCCCCCCCCCCCCCCCCCCCCCAAAAAAAAGGCAAGCCCCAATTTTCAATGTCTATATTATGTAACTATATCTTTGTAAAACATCTGTGTGTCTACTACCCCTCTCCTGGTAGATATCAAACACCCAAATATACGTAGCATAACTACTGTGACCTTGAAAATTTCAATAAATAAGAGAGTTTGAGAGAAAGAATTTTCAAAGAAAAAATCAAAATCGCTCATTTTCACATCCTGAAACCTTTACACTTAAGTAATACTTTTGTCGACCATACACATTTTTTTCGTAAGGAAAAAAAAACTTATTTTTGGCTTTTGTTTATAAGACAGTTTCCAGTCATAAGCGCGAATATCATGTGTAACAGGTTCCACCAAAATTAAAGAATAGTCTAAATCTTGTTTTGTCAGAAGATATGTGGTTAAACGTAGTTTTACGATGAATTGATGGATACAAGTTGAATGAAAAAATAATCCATTTACATCAAGCACAAAATGTGGTATTTTACTATTGAACAATTAAAAAAATTTACAGGGATACGGTTTACTCTTGTCAATGTTGAATAATGATTTAAAATTAAATTTGAGATTGAATAATTTGTATTTAAAATTGTGTAAACATTATGTAAAAACACATCACTAAAAACATCTTTGAATAATGAATTGATAAAATTAAATTTCAAAAATTACGCGGGCTTGTTGCAGAAAAAATATTTGACGACATAATCGGGCAAAATGTCACACATAATATAAAAGAATCTTTACTCATATGGTCTTCAAAATTTCATATCAAAATGTTGTAAATTGGTATCAATTTTGCTTATTTGTATTATAGCAAAAATCTTCATCATGTGTTTCATTTTTTCAACATTATGAAATATAATCACATCACTTTCTTGTCAAAAAATCATTAAACAGGTTTGAAAACAAAAACTGCGGATATATAGTGTGATATCTGTCCCAATCACGAAGAAATTGATAAAATTATACATAATTGTTTCATTTTGCTATTTGTGGACGAATGTCACGAATACCCTAGTTTACAACATGTTTTATTATGTATGTATTGGATTTATGTTGGCTACACGAGCATAACACATAATTTAACAAAAGTGTGGTGTGCCGTCAATTAACGAGACGTCAAAGTTTTACACGGGAATCGCATACTATATTTCTGTTTTTATTATATAACAAAAAACGTAAAATTTTTAAATTTTGGATAACCCATACCGATACTTTTAGTATTTTTTTAAAATACAGAATTTTTGCCCAAAATTTATTTGAATCTTTAAGAATTGTGAAATTTCATAAGTATATGACGCCTGTAATTTTTTTGAACGGCCCTCGTAATTGTCAATTTCCCCATATTCTAGTCAGGACGCAAAATAGATCGTCAAAGTTTCCAGATACTGTTTTTATTATATAACAAAAAACGTAAAATTTTTACTTTATAACCCTTCAGTATAATACTTTCTCAGAATTGCGTATTATAATTTCAATATGTCTGTCAAATAATTTTGCAAGAAAGTAAAAAAAAGGATAATTTGATAAAAATCCTTGAAACATGAGACAAAGTCCATAAAGATGAGATGTCCTGATTCGTGGTCTAAAAAGTTACTTAAATGATAAATATTTCTCAATAACAAATTTATAAAATAAAACAGAGATGGAGAAAATTAATCAAGCTCAGAAGTTCAGAGAAACAATACAATTTGGGAGCGGAGCAAACACGGACCTTTAAAACTTCGAAGTGCGATATGCTGTTGAAGAGAAGTAAACATTCCCTGTAGACCGGATATACTCGCCATGTGCGCCTTATCATGATCGGGCAACGGAAAAATACTTAGACAATTAAGTGTGCGACCTTATTAGAATGACAAACGTCAGGAAAACTTCAGAATTGTACACTTGCTGACAGGGTCATTGTATCTATCTTAGAACTTGCGTATTCTTGACTTTGAATGAAAGTTTTGATATCCTTGTTTCATAAACTTTTTTGTCAATAGTATGCTATGTTCTAGAAAAAATTCGAACGTAGAAGTTCTTCTTCATCGAATCGACTACACATACAAGTGATAAGGGAAATTTGCTTATAAATAAAACCAGTTGACGGTTGAAAAGTTAAAGTCATCACGTTGCTGTCATCACTCCAAAAACTAAAAGCGTAGTTTAACGAAAAAGGAAACTAAAAATGGATGCCCCGGGTGAGGATCGAACTCACGACCTTCAGATCGCTCTTAGCTTTATGATTATGAGACTGACGCGCTACCTACTGCGCTACCGAGGCACATATTACATAAGGAAACAAGATTGAAAGACTTATAAAGACAACTCAGATTAAATAAAATATTTAAAGGAAAATGAATGGAAGACCGTTTGAGCTGTTTTAATGTCCATTTCTTTGTGTGTTGTATACTTCGTCTCTTAAAACAAAGAGAATTAAACGACTTTATTATGTTTTTACCTAATTAAAGAACACGCTACAGTCAAAACAAGTGGAAAGAATTTAAATCTCTTTTAATTCACGTTGACAGAATGCATTGTTCAAATAAGATGTTTAAACATGTTTTCTGACAATTGTCTTGTATAATCAAACAAAAAACGGTAATTAAACATGATCGACGTTTGTGGAAAGGGTGACACTTTCTTTGTAAATATTTATCAATAATAGGTTTAAATGAGGGAAGATATTAAAAATATATTAATATATTATTTCTTCATAAAGATTTCTAAATGAAACTACAAAGCAATTTTTCTGACTTTTGTTTAAAAAGGAATTGTTAATTGCACTATTTTTTGCCAATGACCAAAGTAATTATTTGTTAAAGTTTTTTTTTACATACTTTTAATTTTTATTAAAAAAGCTCCATTTCATCAAATGTATTTGAAATATCCTGAAGCAATGAAAAAAAGGAGTGAAACATGCATATAAAGAAAATTGAATGCCAACACTTCCAAATTTTAAAATTGATCTAGAAATCCTCAAAAGTGTGAGCCTGCATTATAAAATACACTTTATTTTTGGAAATACTTTAAACCAAATCATCATGTCTCTGTGTGATCCTGCATTGTAAAATACATTATTTTTGGTAATACATTTACTTTAGACCCAATAAACATTGTGTCTCTTTTAATTCACTTCTGCCTTACGTCTATAAAAATAAGGTCTTCATCACATTATACTTAACTTTGTTCGGTTTTCTTGAAAATTTTAAAGTGAATATTTGGAGAAAGTAAATTTTAAATACTTACTGATATGTTGATGCTACAAGGATTTCAACAACCTCCGTCCGAACGTCTGTCGATCCGTGAGACTGTAAGCCATAAAACTTAAACTTCAATTTGAGCATAATTTTTCAATGAGTGAAGGTAGTGCTTTTATTTTTCACTTTTACATTATCTGCTAAAATATGTTTTAGAACATATACACAATCATTTTCACTACTTTTGCTGACATTTACGTTTGAGCTATATTTTTACCTATTTTAAGAATAACTTTTGCAAAAAAAAAAAAAAAATATATATATATATATATATATATATATATATATATATATATATATATATATATATATATATATATATATATATATATATATATATATATATATATATATATATAAATGTGTTATCACCTGTGGCAAAACCTTTCTAAAAACACCATGATTTTTTGACCCCATGACCAAAAAGGTTTGACTTACTTTTTAAAAATTTAAACATTAATTGATATTGGCCATATTTTTTAATGAGAGATAGGGCTTTTATATTAAACATGTGTATTATCTGTGACAAGACATTTCTAAATACACTATAATTTTGACCGGACATTGAAGTTTGACTTACTTTTCAAAAACTTTAACCTTGGCCATGACTTTTGAATGAGAAGACATTGGATTATCATATTAAACCTGTATATTGCTTGCGACAAGATCTTTCTAAATACATTATGTTTTTTTATCTTGTAACCTTGAAGTTTGACCTACTTTTCAAAAATGTTAATATTTCTTATAACTTTGAGAGAGAGAGATCGGGCTTTCATATTTGACGTGTGTTATCTGTGACAGGGCATTTCAAAATGTGCTATTAATTGTTCTCCTTGACCTTCCACCCATTCTCAATATAAGGGCACAAATGCCTCTCTGATTTTTTAAAAAATGAAGTTCAAGAAAACAATTTTTCTATCAATTACCTTTGAAAGAAAGTATCTGAAGACTTTGTTTCCAGATTTTTTTCATCAAATTATAATACATGGAATAATGACAAGACGATAAAGCAGAGGGTGATTTTATTCAAAAATGTAGCTTGAAATGTATGTTACTCTTTCTTCAATGTCCAAAAAGATGTGTAAAAAAAATGTGGTCATTAAAATCACAATTGGAATAGCTCATCTTAACACCAGCACATCCTACCAACTCTGTCAGCAACATATTTTCTCGGCATACGAACGTACGTTGATTTTTCCTTAATAAAAACAATGGTTACTTTTTGTTCCAGATGTATAAAAATATTTTTTAAATATATGCTTTAAATTCTTCTCTCTGTTTTGTTTAGACTTTATAGATACTTGGAACCTAACATGTACATGTAGTAAAATTCTATTTTGTAGTTACTGTCTTTTTTTAACATATATCCATGCCGATTTAGAAAACTACGTAAATGTAACGCACATTTCAAGATATATTTCTGTTTAATAAAAAGCTTAAAATTCATCTAAAAATTCATCGTTTTGTTTCAGTTTATTAAAAGAAAGATTCTCTATGTAATCACATTGTGTTATATGTCGCAATCACAACTATAAAGACACGATTGCCTCAGAATATGAGTAGGTAACGTACATTTCAAGCTTGTAATAATATGTAAATTAGTAATAAGAAAATTTTGAAAAAAAAGCAATTATTGACATAAAAATCATTTTAATGAAGCGTTTTAAGGCAGTAATATAAGAAATCATAATGTAACAAACGAGGTTATTTGTCATCAACTACATGAATGTCTCGTCACTTCGGGTTCATTTCAATATTATGTGAGTCCCCTCCATGCCTTACCATTCTTTTGTGCTGTCTCGCTGAAATTGACACCGGTCGTAGCCTAGTTACTTCTACCTGTGTGCAAGGGTACAGACAAAAAATCAGACGTCTTTTGCTATGATCTAACAAATGCTCGTGTTTGGCCATTGAAACTTAACATAAATCTATTCCGAATATATCCATCGACAGTTTGTTAACAATTTCATTTAGTATGTTGCAACATAAAAACACAAACATGCGTGCTTTTCAGCAGATCTGGAAAAATATAACCCAAAATGCAATGATTCAAACAAAACTGAGTATTGTGTGCCTTTCAGTATTTGAAATGTATTCTTGTGTTCTGGGTTTAATTTGTTCCTTTTTCTCTATTTTTTGTTTCTTTTTTTTACCAATTATAAGCCTATGCATACCTTGTTTTTAATTATCATCAACAACGGAAAGTCGCATATTAAAAGTAAACAACTGCAAAAAGGTTGCCAAAGATGAATTAAAGACACTTTGAAATAAATTTTCTAAAGTTAAAACTTTTACAGTTTATAATTTTTGTGGCCAGTTGTCAAATGGATTGGTAATTTTGTTTCTCTCGTGTAAACGCAATTCATTGACTAAATTAAAAAAAAATGTATCAGTAAAATGATAAAAAAAATACATTTCAAATAAAAATCATTCTCTTCCACAAGCGTACGTTAGACACGAATATATTGATTATTTGAACTTGCATATCATAAAAATGCATATACAGGTTTCAAAAAATATATACCAGGTATCAAAATTATATTACATATAATTGACCTTAATATACTTTTTTTCCTCAGAAAACGTTTCATCATTTTTGCATTTAGACCTCCAACCTTTGAAACTTTCCTTTGTGTACACATTCGAGATGTGAAAGTTATACATGAAAATTCGTGCGAGATTCACTTAATTCGAATTTCATGGTATACATTTCAGTCACGTACATTTCAAATGATCACTTTTCATGTAAAAAAATAATTTTTAATTGTGTTAAGCAAAACGTGTTTACAGACTTGAAAGTGAATTTTCTACTTAATATATATTCTGCAAGAATATAGGTAACGTACATTTCTTTCTTATCTCTACGATTGAAAATGTCTTTCATTCCGTAAACATATTTATAAAAGTTGCTCAAATTGTTCAATTTCATGTTACATTATCTAAGTAGGAATAATTAATCCTTTGAAATTTCAAATTCAGCCCATCAATAAATAAAGGAGAACAAAACTATCAGTTGTATAATCTTTGTGTTTGCTTGTAATGTGGTTGAAATAGAATTAAGCGACAGGGACATTGCACAATAAAAATTATTTATTATCACAAAGAAAATGTATTTATTGTTATGAAAAGAAATATATATGATACAAGGTTTAACTTAAAAAAAATTTTTAAAAACTATATATTATCACAGTAAAACTTTCTTTCTATAATATTTGATATATTTCAAATAGGCTACTATATTTGAATTTGAAACATTTTCAGACTAATTATATGAATTCTTATTCACTATTTATAATGTTGATTTAGAAATTACATCAGTGGTATTTCTTTTAAATGAAAATGAGGCGACATCATTTGAGCCCTTATATTGAGAATGGGTGCTTCACGAAATACTTATTTAAAAAAAAAAACTTCGGTGATAACTTCTGAATTACATATGATAGGGCGTTCATATTTGACACAATATGCCATAAAAAAGACATCCAACCCACAGAGACACCGAAAGCGGAGGATAACAATTCTTTGAATTTGCTTAAAATTATTATTCATTACCTCATGACCTTGAATTTCAACCTTCCTCTAAAAAAATAATTTAGCAATTTAATTTTAAATTTAGCAAAAATATATTTGTAGCAATATGTTTTGAATGAAATTTCGGATTTCATGTTTTCTCTACACACTTACTTTAGTTTTGATTTATTACCTTGTCAGCCTTTATTTTAATCTCTTATTTCATTAATACATATATGTTTTGAACGAGAGAAGATGGGGACTTTTACATTTCTTATTGTGTACAAGGAAAGAAAGAAAAACAATTACAATTTGTCAATTGGTCAATAGGATCCCGATATACTCTCGTACACTGTATATTCTTCATATAGCTGTGTGTATAAAATCGCAGTCAAAACGCTTTTGATCCTAGTGGCGTACCATATTTCTGTATAGCTTGGTGTGTTGCATAAATGAGTAAATACGCTTATCATCCACGTTCGTTTTAAACAGGTCACCCTGATATTACAGTGATATTATGCAATTCAATGGAGACCTCCGTGATTGAATTGATTTATATTTTATACTCAGTCATTCCATAAATAACGGTTCATTATGGTGACATTAGGAGTTTTAATTACCGGTGTGTTAATTTTCATCATTTGTGTCCTTCTGTGTTTCCTATTGTAAGTATTGTGAAAGCCTTCGGCAATCATAAATAATAAAAAGTTAACATGTCCAGCACAATCTCTTGATTAAGCTATATAGCTTGATTTAGCTATATAGCTTTATTAAGTTATTCAGAATAGCTTGATTAAGCTATTTTATCAGACTTTTTGCTCAAATGTGCTATTTTTTCAACATGTGCAAAAAGTCGCACCTTGATGCAGTGGAAATATTAAACTTTGAACTCTTCTGAATACAATGCATGTAAAAAATCACTCACCAAGTAGCGTCTCCTTGAAAGACTTTGTACTCAAAATTTTAAAAGTTTTCACCAGAATGAAAGGAGGTCAGTTATGGCCAACAGGATAATTGATTGGTAGGAGTGTAGCACAATGAGAAGCAGTCGTACTTACCCACGCCTCACCGACGCAAAATAGTGGACAGTTACTCAAACAATAGAAATTCAATTTTTGCTTAAAAGTATTCAACAGCAGCAATCCCGTACGAAAGTTTGAGGCGGAATAAGCACGGCTTGGGCACTGCTAAGGCACGGAATCCGCACGGGTTTTTAAAAAATGGCACGGGTTCTGCATGTCCAAGACACGGACACGGATTTCGTGTCTGAAAGTGAGGAATCCTTGCTCACAGAAACCCGTGTGGAGGCACGGAATCCGTGTCCCAGGGAGACGGTTTTTAATTCAAGCGGGTTTTGCTTCATACTATTTATTCCTATCTCACGGCTTTTTACTGAGCATGCTCAATCATAACTTCCTTTATTTGAATATTAAATTGGAGGGATCCATGGCCATGAGCTAAGCATGTGTATTTTTTACTTTAGTTAAAGGATATTAAACTAACAGATATCAGTTGGAATTGTATCTATGTCAGTCTGGGATGATTTTAATTATCACTTTTGAACTAAACGCAGTAAGTGTAATATAAAATAAACAAGTCAATTTTTCAATTTTCATGATCTTCCTATATCATTGCAACGTTGACAATGTATGTGTTGAAATAGTCTTTGTTTATTTGAATGACTTTAGTGGGATTTTCACTAATCAATATATAATTTATGTGTCATCACATACAGTGCTATAGAAAGTTTAATTTGATTTAAAATCTTTCTTAGATTGTGCAAACTTAGCTAGATTAAGTTATAATTGAATTGTACATTATCATTAAATTCTTAATTAAAATCTAGCATGGTTTGTAACTGATTAAATAAATATTTAACAGAAAGTAAATGGACAACTTCATATACGGTTTCTAACTAAGCATAAATGTAAAGCATTGTGAAGTTTGGTACCAGTCACCATTTTGGCATCAACTGTTGCATCAGGAGATTCTCTAAATTAAAGGCCCTGACCTAGATCTAGACAAATGCACCGATCCCGTGACTCCATATATGGTATGTCTCCCGGATTTTTGCACACGGGTTTCCAAAAATCCGTGTCTCCATATATGGAAAAAGACACGGGTTTCAGACACGGGTTTTCAGAATCCGTGAGTCCATATATGGAAATTAGCACGGCTTTTGTAAAACCGTGTGATCTCATTTCAATAATTTGGCCAATATCCCGTGCCGTGTCCGTGCCTCGACTATTTTAAGGCATGGCTTTCCATACATATTTTACATAGGAGCAGGAATGCTATAAGCATAGGTTTCTGGGAACGGAATCCGTGCCTGAGCCGTGTCTAAGCCGCCCGGACTTTCTGTGATTTAGGTCGTACTTTTGATAGTCCATAGTACATATATGAATAGTCAAATACTTGTGACTTTTTGTTTATTTCTTGCAAAAAACGTTTTTGTGAAAACAGCTTATAAAAAGCTTTATCAAGCTATTTAGAATAGTTTAATAAAGCCATATAGCTTTTTAAAGCTATAATAGCTTAATCAAGAGATTGTGCTGGACCTGGTTAATATGACTACTCTAATACATACATAGCGAATTGGGTGTAGATACGTTTGGTTTCATTAGTGTCTTTAACATTTAACAACGTGTGACGAACAATATGTATTTGCATTGTTTTGTATTGCATTATACCTTTTCTTTATTTAAGTACACTTTTTGGTGATGATAAACCATACGTATAGGTACTTAAAAAAAAGGAATTAAAAAGAATATTTTGGAAGATATCCAATAAAAATCTTGATATCAGTAATTTCAATTTTTGATATCGAAAAGTAATCCTTCAAATCAAAAATTGAAATTGTTCGTATCAACAGATCATTTTCTGATATCATGAAGAAATTCTTGTTTAAAGTTGAGTAACCATTATCTTTGAAAATGCATTTTGCCAAAAAGAAGAGTAAAAAGACCAGCAACAATTTTATAACACTGTTTTCATAGTACTGTATTTAATGCTCATTAGCTTTAAAATGTCTATATTCACATTTCAAAGCTTAACGACTTTTTTTTTTTTTTTTTTTTTTGATAAACTCATATTTTTTCTTAGATAAACTTGAACATTCTAAAGGAATTCTGAAACTGATATTCAGAGTTGGTAGTTGTATTTTGTATGAATAGCATAATATTTCGAATATTTGATTTAAAAAAAAATTGCATATCAAGACTTTTAATTTTTAGTATGGTATCAAAAAATCATTTCCTTATATCATTTATAATTTGATTTTTTATATATAAAAAAATAACTTTGGATATCAGAAATTTGATTTTGATATCACTCATTAATAAAGATTTAGTTTATATCAGGATTTTGATTTCTTGATATCAGAAAGTCAATTTTGATATCAGAAATCGATATTTGATTTATAAAAATGCTTTTAATCGTTGATATAAAAAATATTTTGTTGATATAAGGAAATAGACATGGAAGAAAATAAGAATTAGCATTAATGAATGTTCTTTTATTTCTGTATCAATTTAAAAAAACATAATGTACGGTTTAATTTACTCTAAATTACTTTATTATCATTTCATGATATAAAAGATTTAAGGAAAGCCCCTTAATGAAATAGTCAGAAAGTTATATATATATGTTAATAATTCGATCATTCTGATTAGATTAAAAAATGTTTTTGCTTTTGTTAATCATTTCAATGCATAATCTTCACATTTCAGGTATTCAACATGGAATTTCGGAATTTTCAAGAAAATGGGGGTAAAAGGACCACCTCCCAATCTTTTTGTTGGAAACTTCAAGACGGTCGCCGAAATGGTAAATTGAAAGAGAAAAAAAGTAATCATATATGTAGCATGCCATTGAAATTAACGTGTAATTACCAAAAAAATGCTCGATATAGGTCTTTGAAAATAAGAAATGTTCCAAATATTATATTATTTTAGGGAACGGCTGAAGCTGACATGATGTGGTGGAGGGAGTACGGAGATGTTTTTGGGTAGATATATTATGATCATTAATCAATCTAATAAAAATCAGACTTCTTAGATCCGCGCCGTATACATTCTTACGCAGAGTGTATAGGGCGCGGATCTATGAAGCCTAACCCTAACCCTCACCCAGTATATTGGATCATCAATGTTTTTCTTGTTTTTTATTTGTCTTTTTTAAAACAAATATTAATTATTTTTATGTTTATTAAACAAAAAAGTCAAATCAGTCTTTAATTTCACAATTGCATACTTTGATAATCATAGGCACTTTAATGGAAGATCGCCCATGTTAGTTGTTGCAGACACGGAAATGCTGAAGGAAATTCTAGTGAAACAGTTTCAAAATTTCACTGATCGAGCAGTATGTTGAACGTGCCCTTTATATTATTGAATATCAGCTATAAACTAATCATTTTAGTTTTAAGATTCTAAAACAAAAATATAAAATGTTTAGTTTCTGAAGGAGGCTTTAATTCCCTTTCAGCTTTGGGATAATATTAATAAATATACATTTCTTAGAAATATTTTATTGTCAGGTAAACAATTTTTATTAAGATGAATTAAATGTCAAATTATCAATTTTTGTCGCAAATATTTTTTTTTTACTTTTTGAAAGCTATCAATTATCTGTAATGACAGGTTCCACGAGGATTTAGTGGTGACGTCGAAGAAAATATAAGCACACAGCAAGGAAATGTGTGGAAAAATTCCCGGGCAATATTGTCGCCAACCTTCACAGCTGGAAAACTTAGAAAGGTGGATGTTAAATTTGCTTTTGGTATACATGTATTGGATGGGCCTACATTCAACTTTAAAAATCAGTTTAGTACTACAAATGTACCGTTATCGAAATATCATGGGCATAAAGTTTTATTTTGATCTCTCCGACTGTCGACTGTCTATTTGTCTGTCCGCCAAAAAAAAATTATGCTTACCAAAACTTTCATTGATTTGAGTTATGGCTTTCATAGGTCACAATTTTATGTTTTTTATGACAAGAACTTTCTCTGAGTACCAATATATTTTACCCTAAATTTTGTATATTTTAAAGTTTTAACCCTGGCCATTTTTATTGAACAGTTTGAGCTAGGGCTTTTACACTTTAAAAAAACCAATCTGTTTTTTTTTTCAATAAGTTGCTTTCCTAAGGAATAATTTTCATTTTTTTGTTTAGCTTTAACTCTGTTAGCTGCAACAATATAGCCCTCTCCGATTTTTTTCATCTGATGTTTTCTGGAGAGGGCTACAATTCCATAGTATCTCCCTAATGGTGCAAATTTTTTTTTCAAATAGGAGCGACTGCAGGCAAAACTGCATGTTTCCTAGTCGTTCTACTCAGCAGCCATGACAGTTTACGCGTGACGTAATGAGACTTTCGCTTGAAATTTCGAACAACCTAATAAAGCAAATGTCGGTGTATATAAATGAGTGTGCTGAATTGTGTCACAAAAACATCGATAAACAAAACCATTATAAGTGTTATTTTTACGCAAGCAGCGATATTTATGCTTGAAATATGGGAATTCCTGAAAGATCCGCTCCTATAGAACCTAAATTCTCATTGGCTGTCCCAAAATAAAATCTATCAAGGTCAGTAAACATGGCGGATAAATTCAAGTTGTGATGTTGACATACAAGAAAAATAACTGATATCTGGATCTTTCTGTAAATATTTGGATTGATTTATGTCTTGGATGACTACATTTTTGGAGTCAAGGTAAGAAATGTTGATAAAATAGCCATTTACTGACAATTTGAGCCGAAATCCGTGCGGGAGCGAATCGCTCCCGCTGCTGCACCATTACGGAGATCCTAAGGAGTTGTAGCCCTCTCCCACCAAAAAAGGGGGAGAGGGCTACATTATTGCAGCTTTCCTAGAGTTTGACACGATTTTCAAAGATTTTTTAAAACATTGTTATTTGAACAGTGCTTTTTAATAATTTTCCATCTTCAGCATATAAAACTTTAATTTTTATGCATTAGATGGACCCTCTTCTCAATGAAGCTGGGGATAAACTTGTTCAACATGTTAAAAGAGAAATCAAGGAAAATGACGAGGTAGACTTTGCAAAGTAAGTATTTTGAAGAATAATGAATAAAAATCATCGCCAAAAAGGGATATATTTTATGAATCCGAGGAAACTGACACGAATTGGTACATGTTACATGTTATATGTAAATATTTGCTTTTCATTTTTCTCCATATCATAGTATCACGTTAATTAATGAAAAAAATATGATGTTGATGTAAGGTTCTAGTTGATATATGGGATTTTTACAGTCTCTTTGGATGTTACACGGTAGATGTTATTGCTTCTACTGCATTTGGAATGACGGTGAATACGCAGCGGGATTCCAATGACAAATTTATGGAGATGGTTTCAAAACTTATCTTTGTGAAACGTACATCACCCCTTCTAACCCTTGCATGTAAATATCAAACACTTCATTGCACTTGATTTGATTGTATAAAAGTAGGCGTTTAGTATTTAATGAGATTTTTTTTAACGCCAATTTAGTTGCAATTCCCATTCTTGCAAGGCCAATAGCAAAGTTCTTCAATGTTTCATTTTTGAATGAGGAGGCATCTGTATTTTTCAAGAACGCTATTATAAAGGAGATGACAACAAGAGATTCATCCAAAAGGGTATTTAAATGTACATAAATTATGTAAATATAATGTTATTTAACCAATATGTTATAAAAGCAAATTGAAAAATTTGAATGAAAAAAAAATCTGCGAATTTAATTTCAAATTGCTTTATGTGTGTTAAAAGGGGATTTACAGAATACATGCAAAGCTGCAGCTGTCTACGATTAAAATTAATGCAACACTTAATTTTCAGGAATACGTTGATTTTATCCAACTTATGATGGAAGCTTATAATGATGACCCGCAAAAGATGGACGGGAAAAGAGGTTAGGAACTCTTAGATTCAGTTATTTCCTGAAGATTTTTACCGTAAGGGACAGACTGAGTAGAATTAAAGTAATAAATTTACTTTAGTACATGTGTATTGTCTGCTGACGGTACTATAATACCATTCTCTGAAACAACAGTAAACTTTTCAAAATTTGCTTCACCAAGACTTCTTAGTTAATAACTATCTTACAAACGGTTGGCTTTTCAAGTTATATTTTTTTATGGCCCAACTGACCTGTTTATCCACAATTATGTTCGTAAAGCTATTAAAATGACATAATTGTTCATCGTGAACACATGATCCCACCTCTGACATTCCCAGGGGACAGTGTAGATATGTCTGTCTCATTTTGTATTGATTGAAGAGTTAAGTACTTTGACTTTACATAATTTCAGTGATATCAGAGTCAGAGTATAAGTAAATGTAAATAGGGATTTTAGCAGGTTTATGAAATATATTTTTTATTTTCAGGGTTGTCATCCAAAGAGATAATCGCTAATTGTTTACTGTTTTTCTTCGCTGGTTATGAGACCACTGCCGCCACTCTTGCTTACATGGCATATCTTCTAGCTCTTCATCCAGATGTTCAAAGGAGGGTTTACGATGAGATAGTAAAGGAACTGGGAGATGTAAGGTTATACTGATAGTAACTTAATAGCATCTCACTTCGAAAATTTAGAAATCAGTAGAATTAACAAAGTTTTATATTATCTTGTATAAAAAAAGGTAAATATAGAAGATGTGTATAAATAAACGAAAAATATTGTTTTTAACCGAGAAATTTAAATACATTTTTTACAAACTTAAGTGGGATCAAAAGTTGTTCATATATCAACCTACAGATAAAATATAAATGTAAAAAAAAATATGAAAGGACAAATACATTTGTACCTTATACCTTCGACCGGTTCAGAGTATTTAGCATCATGATAAGTTATTTAAACAATAAAATGCTTTCTTTGTTTGTTATTACTGGAATTAACGGAAGCAGCTGTTGCAGAAAAAATACATAACCCGCGTAAGCGGGTTATGTAAATTTTTTCTGCAATAGCTGCGACCGTTAATTCCAGTAATAACAAACAAAGAAAGACATTTTATTGTTTATATTTATATCTGTTTAAATAATCATTTAAAGAAGGATTAAAACGGTTAATAATTGTATTAATGATGCGAACGTCTTTATATGTTTCATTGATGGAACAGCCACTGATCAAGAAATCTGTACAGGCGACATGCCTAATATAGTTCATGCAGTGATTAACCCAATGGGTTTTCTTAAGAAATAAGGGAGAAAATATTCAGTGGATGTAAATATATTGATGTATAGATGTTTAGCTTTCTTTTTTATGCATAATGGTTTTTAAAATCTCTGACAATTTTCGATAAGAAATAATATAAATATAAGTATATAAATAAAAGAATATCATTGAGAGACACGTACAACGTATATGTAACATTTTATTTCATTAGTGGTTACTATAGTACATACGTGACTCTTCCTAAGAATTTGAATTTTTTTTCTTATTTAATAATCTAAAAAATACAAATAGAAACAATTATGTATCATGTCTGTAGGAAGAACCAGGGTATGATAATGTAGTGAAGTTGCAGTATATGGACATGTGCCTGAGTGAGACAATGAGGTTGTTCCCTGTTGCCCCTAGGTAAGAATGTGAACAGAATGCAGTAATTTCTTTGAACGTGAATATTTAGCATTTAGGGATCACATGTACATGTACATGTATCTAACTTATTCGCAGGACAGATAGAGAATGTGTACGGGATACTGATATCAATGGATTTAAGATACCGAAGGGCATGGCGGTTGCAATACCAATATGGATTTTACACCATTCTGATAAACTGTGGAAAGATCCAGAGAAGTTTGATCCAGAAAGGTTTGGTTTTAAAAAAAAAAACAAATTAAACTTTCGTGTTCTATTTTGAATATTGATAACTTCAATTTAGGAATTCAATTTGTTAGAGTATACCTTAACTCAATAAATATTATAATCGGGGACCTATATACTAGCTAAAACATTTGAATTTCTATCTTTTTTAGGTATTAAAAAATAGAGTTTTTGGTCATAAGTAAAAAAAATAATTTCACAATTTAAAAATATGGCAAATGTCCGAAACTCGTATTTCGCATGACAAAAACCTTGAATCTCTTTATTTCTTAAATCTATAATTTTGTATTTTAAACTCCAGAGAACATTGCTTTCTCTGCAAAATGTTCATGATGTTAAAAACCACACACAACAATTGTTCAAAAACAAAATACCAATATGTTGGTATAGACTAGTTTGAATTTCCTGTAAAATATTTCAGATTTACGCCAGAGAACAAAGCCAAGATGAATCCGTATCAGTTCATGCCTTTTGGTTATGGTCCAAGGATATGTATCGGAAAAAGATTGGCTCTCACTGAGATCAAAGTAGCAATGACAAAAATCCTTAGAGAGTTTGAATTAACTACGTGTTCCAAAACAAATGTAAGATCACATTTCATTTAACCAAATTTAAAAAAACAACAACACTTTTTTTACAAAAGAAGGGAAAGAAAAAGAAATAAGACCAATTTAAGAGTTAATTAATTATATATAGCAATGAGAATATCTTTGTTTAAGAAATTTTGCCAGAAGGCCTATTGCATTTTGAATTATAGATATGTTTTATAGTTACATAGATTTTTATTAAATTTGATGTATTTTCTGATTTAAATGGAATAAATTTTATCAAATACTTTCGAGAACAATCTTGTGTAGAAGCGGTAAGGTATGATACACCTTTTGGATGAAATATATAGATTATCCACTAAGTAAAGTTAAAACAAGATCTGTTTGTGAAATACTGATGCCTCCGCATGACAACAAATGATGAAGGTTGAAGTTTCTTAATTGCAAGTCAACCACCAAGGTCGAACTCAAAAGGTCAAAATTGTTGGTATCCAAAGGAAGGTCTTGTCATCAGAAAACACTTTTGAAATATGAAAACCCAAGTATTTACTTTTCAAAAGTTTTAGCCAAGATCAAAGTTTTTTTTTTGAAAACTGGGTCAAACTCTCAGGTCAAGGTTAAAAAGCCAAAACTATTCATTCCCACTGAAAGATCGTGGTACAATGAATATACATGTGGAGTATAAATGCCATTGCACAAACTGTTTAAAAGTTATGGCCTTGGTTAAAAGTTTGGTAATTTTTGTAAAAAAGGGGGTCAAACTCTAAGGTCAATGACAAGGTGTCAAATTTGGTGGTACTACATAGAGAGGTCTAGTCACAGAAAAACACCTGTGAAATACGAAAACTATAGCCCCACCCACTCAGCAGTTATGGGCAAGGTTAAATTTCTGCGGAAAAAACAGATAAACTGACAAAAAGACAGACAGACAGACGGACAGGGCAAAAACTACATGCCTCAGAATCTTCGACTATAGGGGCATAAAAAGTTTTAAAAAACATACAAAATACAGATATTCGAGTGAAAATTAGGAACGCTTTTTATTTTTTATTTTTCGTAGATACCTCCGAAATTTAGGAATGGTGCCAGTCTTGTTCAACCAGTAGATATGTGGCTGAGAGTTACTGAACGCTGACCAAAATCCTTTTTCTCAACTGTTATATTTTTGTATTGCATAGCATGTATCCTGACTTCATGCTACCTCGATGTGAATATGCTGAAAACTCACGTCAAAAAATACAAGATTGTAAATAAATGTGATCCTTTGGTAGACGTATTACGTTTATATTGAATTTGAATCCTATACAAGCCTAGGTGACATGTACCTTTCTTTTTTCAACATGAATCAAAATGTGAATTTAAAAATTTCAATGAAAAATGTTTTGGGTACGCATCTCTTATCCGCAACTCCTCTTATACCTCTGAATGAAGTTGAATGAGACAAAATCTTTGTTACAAAGTGACATTGTGTGACCTTTTGTTTTTCTTATATACGTCACATGTATTGGGTTACCTATAGTGAAACATGGATGCTGCCATCTTTTCTATTATACTGAAGGGTACCCATCTCTTAACTCCTTCTATACCACTGAAAAAAAAATTAATGATACTTTTACTTATTCTTTATTGTAAAATGCCATTGTGCGACCCTATTTTACTTTATCTGACACATATTTAGGGTCTTTCCGAGCCAAACATAGAATTTGCTATTAAAATCACATGGTTGGTGAGAGTGGGGGTGGTAGTGGAATCTTTTATTGATCTCATGGCTCACAGTACAATTTATATTTTCTTGGTCAGAATAGACAAAGCTTACAATGATTTACATCCTTAATAAGTACTTCCTGACCTGATAAAGATTCAATTTTATTTTAAATCTTTCTCACGGACACGTCATGCACCAAAACAAGGGGGATCGATGTTTCCCTAAAGAACAAATAGGAAACAACGTACAGTTTCTTATAGATTGAAGAAAGGTTCAATTAATCGTATCGATGTACAAACCTGAAATGTAAAGTTTGCCCAAAGCTAGGTTTTTGAGGCGTTAGTGAAACAATTATGAGGAAGTTTACATTGCATTTATTAAAAATATTGACAGGTAATCAATGCGTTTAAAAGATGTTTGCGTCTAGCCATTCTTGAGAAAGTGCAATTTTGTAAACAGCTAAAATTGCACTTTAAACAGGCAAAAAATTTAAGAGGTATCATTATACTAGTAAGTTTCACGGAATAACAACCTATCTCATTATTTTTTTTAAAGATGAATATATTCTCGGCTTAAAATCAAGATGTGGTTTTGTAATACTAGTCAATGAAGCTTTTTTCTGGTAGTTTTTAGGATCAAAACATTGATAAAGTGTGTTAAAAGAATACAGTCATGTAGTAATTTTTTTAAACGTATGTTTAAGGGGGATGTACAAGCCATATTGGATCTAGTCTGGTGAAACTAAGAAATACCAAGAATGCGCTTAATACTCTACTAAACTAGCTCAAAGTTACTCAAAGTGCTAATGCACTAATTATCTACTGTTAGAGACCAAAATTAGTAAACAATTAAGTTTATTTTGTCTTAATTAGAAGAAAATTAATCATGTTAGAACTGCGCAGCTACAGCATTCATGAGATGAAAAATGCATTGAAAATGGAGTTAGTTTGATTCATTGATAATATGGCTACAACCATTTGTTTCGTTTTTTTCTTGTAATTATCCATAATTCTTGAAAATTTGATTTTTCATATGGGTGTCTTCCTGAGGCCATGTGTTTATTTCGTCCGCCATTCCTCTGTCACACAGAGTTCGAATAACAATGATTTTAGAATAAATGCGACCATAACAACACCAAGACAAGAAATTACTAAGTAATAATCATTAGGTTATATTACTTACTACTTTTATTTGTTGCATTGCATCGTCTGATTAATGAAAACACGCGATTTTAACCTCACTCCAGCAAATCGGGAAAAACTTTTCTGTTTACAACCCGAAATTCCTCGCTAAAATTATTCCACTAAGCACATGGTTGGCATGTGCATATATCTGCTGTGGATAAATACGTTTATTACCATGATTATATTTAATTTTTCATGGAACAAGTCTTGATAATTTGTTGGTTTCTTTAAAACTCAAGAAAAAAAGATAAAAATGTCCTATACATATGTGTTTACGGTGGGTCTTTTTTCTGTGGCGAAAGAAGTTATTTTCAAATGGGGCACTGCAAGGAGGATGCTAAGCATTTAATTTGAAAATGTTAAACAATACGCAGTGCATGAAAAATAAATTGTAATTACATGTCTTACATTCGAAAAGTTGGTACATATGTCTATTTTGTTTATAAGTTAGATAGAAAAAATAGGCATTTATAGGATATCCTTCAGGCACCTCACATAAATAGCTAAAATGTTTTCAATGACCTACACATTGTATGGGGTCATGTTTGGACACAAAAACGCATCATGTCTCATTATGTTGACAACGTTGTAAGCTCTCGCTCATTGAACATACGAAGCTTGATAAAATATAATGAGTTGTTTCTATGAAATTTAGAAGAGAGCACAATGTTTGCAATGAAAGGTCCATTGCATATGCTATGTCTATCATCGCAAAAAAGTGAGTGCTAACCCCTCCCCCCCCCCCCCCTCCCCCGAAAATCCTTTGTTTGTTTTTCAAAATAGTGTCAAAGATTAAAAAAAATTGCATTACTAAGTATGTGATGGAACATGCACTAGCCTTATAATACCACTTGTTATAAAAATATTTGGTTGCCCTCTCTCCCGATCTACTGCCTAGAAATGGCCCGACTCATTTTTTTTAACATTTCATTACACGATATTTTTTTCTTTTTCTTCCGTAAACAAATTCTGTTTAAATTTTAAGGATTTTTTTTTCTCACCTATAAATACGGACCCAATAATTTTTCCCTGAGTTGGGAGGACCACCAAACATCATTTTAAAGATGTTTATAAGTTGATTTTTTCTCTTTACTTTGTATAATTGTAATTTTGAAAATATGGGCAAATAGAAAAAAAATTATGTTCAAACTAAATAAATTACTTCAAGTCACACTATAACACCTTTCCTCTTTTTAAAGTGTTCATATTATTTGAAATATTTTGCAACTGTAATTCTCTTCTACATTTAAAGATTGTTATGCCCCTCCATATTCAGAAGAGGTCTGGAAAACAAGATTCTGTGCTAAAAATAGATCACGTGCTGCTATCCATGAACTACTTTCATGGTTCTTTACACTCTTTTTGAAGACAATGGTACCTTGTTTTGAACTTGAAATTATCATTTAAAAGTGCAAAATTTAGACATTTTCTCAACAAATGGTTGTAGAGAGAACATTAATGCACAGTTTGCATATTTTTTTGGATTTTCTAAGGCTCTGCTGAATTCTGTAGCTGCGCAGTTCTAAGGAGCATATCAAAAGCATTTTTCTGCAAAAGTATAGATTATATATGCACAACATGCATTCGGTTATGCATATTTATTGTATCTTTATCAAAAAGACTTAAAATTTGATCAAAATATAATGTATTTTAGCCATTTGAAGAAATGTTTACATTTTGCGTTCACTGCACTAAAGGTGGCCGTACATCCCCCTTAACGAAGATTTAACATTTCTTTGTTTAATATATTATTCACATCCACGTACGAGTTATCGCGCTTTGTTGGTAGTTGGCATATAATCTACAATTTTTTTTCAAATTGATACATGAATTAAAAGAAATAAAATTTTAACAATTAATGAATTAATCCCTCGGCTATCTGTGTCTTTAAGTTGGTTTTACAGAATTATTGTTAAATGAAGTACATGCCCTATAAAAAAAATACGGATGTAAAGTTGTAGTAATTTCCTACACTTAACTATTAGTATTCAAGTTTTTATCACATAGAATGAAAACAGTGAAGATAAGAATTGTGATCCATCTATAAAAAGACAACAGCAAACAATACATTAGACTGAAGATGGAATAACACACAGACATACATATGGAAAGTCCAGTGGCGGAGCAAGGTGTTTAGAAGTAGGCCTAAGCATCCTTCGTTAACCTGTCACGCCGTGTGCACTATGAGCATATTGCATGTATTAAGTAGACGGAATATTCCATTGTCAAATCTTGTACAAAAACAAAAGCCTAACAATTGAATAAGTATGAAAAACGCCAGTCAACGTACAATCCAATAATAAGCTACATCTGCTAAAAAGGTAATTTAAATACTTAGAATAAACGAAACGATGATTTATAAGACGTTGTTGAAATCTCTGAAATAACTTTTCAGTGGTCAGTATATGTTTCAATTTTGATCATACTAATAGTATTGTACCGTTAAACCTGTGTTTTTTTTTAATTTAACGTCTTCCATCTACCTCTCCGTCATTAATACATGTATATATTTTTTACCAGTGTTCTGATTTTTACATCAAATAAGGGGCCAGATTTAGCCTTTTATACTACCTTGTCCACTCTTGATCCAATTGATGTGCATTAAAATCCTCTTTAAGAGAAAAATACGAGGGTTTATACAAAAAATGTGCGGTTACTTATAAATCTTTCATAATAAAAAAAATCGACAACAAAATTTTATCAGGTAAATGAATCCTTAAATGTTTTTTTTATTTTCTAATTTTTACACATCAAGAAATTTCAATTCAACGTATCAATTAATCAAATGATATCTCCTGTCAATGAATTGTTTTTCTTTTACGAAAAGAAACGTTTGCCTGAATTTCTAAAACAATATAGTTCTTAAAATAATTTTAAAACTTTTAAATTTCAAACTAATAAAAATGGTTATCAGTGTCTTCAGAACGTTATACATTGATGAGTTACACAAATGTACCTTCTTATATCACTGGCGGATTTAAGAAAGGCGTGGGAGGCGCACCTCCCCTCCTAAAATTTTCAAAGTGTGATATGACTAATATTAATAATGCTATACTTTGGTTTTTTTTTTACATAACTAACCAATACCAAAACAATTATCATGCCTAATTTTAAAACTTTTAAAAATACACAAAAAATGGTTATCAGTATCTTTCAGAACGTTATACATTGGTGAGTTTACACAATTGTACCTTCTTACCCCCTGGGCCCCCTCCATTCAAAGTATGATATGACTAATATTAATAATGCCATACTTTGACACATAACTAACCAATACCACTATTATAAGGTCCCCACCAGGGCTTTGCCCTGGACCCACTGGGGGCCTTAAGGCGGCCCCCATACCCCTTGCCTGAACGAAGTTATCCGCACACATCCCCTAATCACAAATCCTGTATCCGCCCATGTATACCACCAGTTGAAAAGTGGGAGGGTATATGGTGTTCGGGATGTCCGTCCGGCCGTCTGTTCGTCCATCCGTCCGTCAGTCTCTTACGCTTTGGGGTACCCATTTTTCATCCGCAACTCCTCTTTTGCCACTGAATGAAATTTAATGAGACTTTCACTTTCTTTGTTTCATAGTGCCATTGTGCACCTTCTATTTTACTTTTTTCATTTGATACATATTAAGGGTATTTTTTTTTCAGAGCAAAACATGGGCCATTTCTTCTATAATA